CGTCCGTGTCGCAGGCCGCGAAGATGGCGCGGTACTCGCCGATGAGGTTCGCGCTCAGGTGGCCGGCCTTTTGGGACTTGTGGTGGAGCGTGTCCGTGCCCAGCAGCGCCGACATGGACGACCGGCGCCGCATGGACGAGCCGCGGCGCTTCAGCGCGGGCCGGCCGTCGGCCGCCGACGGCCGCTTCTCGAAGAGGTTCTTCATCGACGACGACAGGCTGCCGCGCCGCGGCGCGGCGTCGGGCGCCTTCTCCCGGGCGCCGAAGAGCTTCCGCACGGAGCTCGACACGCCCAGCGACGGCCGCCGGTCGGCCGCGGCGCGCGCCGCGGGCTCGGCCGCGGTCCGCGCGCCCGGGTCGCCGCGCGCCGACGGCGGCGGATCCGGCGCCGCCGCCGGACCCTTGTCCGCGGAGCCGCCGAAGAGGGTCCGCAGCGACGAGTTGATGCCCAGGCTCGCGCGCTTCGCCTTGGCCGGCGCCGCCTTGGCCGGCGCCGCCTTGGCCGGCGCCGCCTTGGCCGGCGCCGCCGGCTCCTTGGACGCGCCGCCGCCGTTGATGTCGTCCCAGAGCGCGTGGAAGTCGAAGTCGCCCAAGTCCGCCAGCGGGTTCTTGGATTTCGTCGTCTGCGACGAGCGCTTCGGCATGGCCGAGGGCTCCCCCACCTTTTCGGACGGAGAGCTTGGATCGGGGGCTGCTCCATCGGCCCGGAATCCCAAATCAGTGACCTCGGTGGGCTGCCCGCTCGCACGATGGCCGACTACAAGACGTCGGCGGCGTTCGAGGAGGAGGTGGCGCCGCTCAGCGGCGCGTCCCCGGCGGTCGCCGCGCCGGCGACGTCCGGGTCCCTGAAGAAGGCGGCGCTCGCGCTCTCCGCCGTCGGCGGCTTCGTCGCCGTCGTCGGCGGCGCCCGGGCCTACGCCGCGCCGAAGCCGGCGCTCGCCGCCGTGCCGTCGGCGCACTTCGCCGTGTCCAACGAGTACACGGCCACGCGCGGCCTCGTCGGCGACGGCCGCCTCAAGTGGGAGCACATCGTCGAGCCCCATCGGGCGACGACGTTCACGGCGCTGGTCGACGGCGAGCCGTGCGGCGCGTGCGACGACGC